AGCTGCTTGATCAGCCATGGAATTCCCCATAGTATTAAGGGAGGAGTCAGTTTGGTGGGCCTTGAAATGGTTTATTCCCAGTTGGGAAGGCAGCCTGGAGGCTCGTATTAGGCCAGAAATAATTGTGGAATTAATGACTGCCATCCCTCTGGTGGTCAATAGCACCCTTTCTTTCTAAATGGCTGCGTGGGAGATCAGGATATGGAAGACATATTTGGAATCTGTATACAGGGAGAGGGTTTTTCCCTCCACTAGCTCACATGCCCTTGTGGCAGCTATGAGTTCAGCTTGTTGGTTGGTGGTATTGGGTGGGAGAGGTTTTGCCTCATTGATGGATGAGAGGGAAATGACAGCATACCCCACCACGTTAACCCCTTCATGTATAAAGGAGCTACCATCTGAGAACCAGATGAGGTATGAAGAGGGCAGGGGTCCCTCAGAAATAGTGGTAGGGCAGGGTAAAATTGTCTCTAATACCTCCAGGCATTTGTGGATGGGATCTTGTGAGGGAGAAGATGGGAAGAGGGAGGCAGGATTTAATGAAGAGCAGGACTGAAAAGAGATAGAGGGATTTTCAAGGAATGAGACAAGGAGAGATAGAACCCTGGAAGGCAGAAGTGACTGTAGCCCCTTGTAAGTGAGGAAATCCTTTAGATGGTGAGGAGATGAGATGGTTAGTGGGGAGCCAAAGCTAAGCTTGTGTGCTTCTTTCTGAAGGTCATGGGCTGCTGCTAGGGCTCTGAGACATGGGGGCCATCCCCTGACGGTGGTGTTGAGCTGTTTGGATAGGTAGGCCACTGGTGCAAATGTGGGGCCATATTCCTGACCCTGAATGCCCAGACTTTGTCCCTGTTTTTCATGTATAAAGAGGGTGAAGGGTGTCGGGAGAGGTCGGGGAGATGCAGGGCATGTGCTCGGAGGAGGGCCTTTTTAAGGATTGTAAAGGGCTTCCCTACCCCTGAGGGTAGGTGTTCATCTTGGGGGCCCTGGGCCAAGTTATATAGCAGCCTGAAGAGGAGGGAGAAATTAGGAATCCAGGCCCTAAAGTACCCAGCCAAACCCAAGAAGGAGAGTATGTCATCTTTGGTCTTTGGTGTATGTGTAGACACAATAAGCTGTTTTCTGTCTACTGTAATGGTCTTTTTCCCTTGAGAGATAGAGAACCCTAGATATGTGACCTATTTACATGCTATTTGGGCCTTTTGTGGAGAGGCCAGATATCCCTTCAAGGCCAAGAAATTAAGTAAGAGAACTGTGTCGTCTATTGAGTGCCCTTTGGACGGGCTACAGAGGAGAAGATCATCAACATATTGCAAGAGGGTGGATTTGGGGCACTGGGGGGTGAAAAGATTGGAGGTCAGAGACCAAGGTTTGTCCAAAGAGGTGTGGACTATCTTGAAATCCCTGAGGAAGGACAGTCCAGGTTAGTTGTTGAGAATGTCTGGTGGTGGGATCTGTCCAGTTAAAGGCAAAAAGATCTTGTGATTCGGGGGCAAGGGGAATGGAGAAGAAAGCATCCTTTAAATCTATGACCAAGAAGTGGGTGGCAGTGTGGGGGATCTGAGATAGCAGGGTGTATGAGTTGGGAACCAAAGGATGTATGAGCCTAATGGAGGTGTTGATGAGTCATAAATCCTGAACTAAGTGATAGGACCCATTGGGCTTTTCTACCACTAGTGTGGGAGTATTTTAAGGGGAATGAGCAGGACGGAGGTACCTTTGCTAAGAAGGTCCTGAATAATAGGTTGTAGGCCCAGAAGAGCTTTTGTGGACAGGGGGTATTGAGCCTGATTGGGGAAGGTGTTAGGATCTTTGAGATGAATGTTAACTGGTGAGCAGGAAACCATGTGTAGAGAATCAGATGTGACTGTGTAACTATTACTGTCCTTGATGGAGTCTGCCTGCAAATAAGATATTCTGTCAAGGTATAGATAGTTAACAGCAAACATGCTTGAAAACGAGGTGTCTGCTGTCCTTGGGAGAACTTGCTTGTAAACGGGATGTTCTGCCAAGTGGGCTAGGAGGGCGCTGAGAAAAAAATTATTATCTCTTCTTAACAAAGAGCAGAGCTCAGCATGCTCCGGGCTGAGAGTAAATTAACTATGAGAAGTGGGTCACTTCTGATTAGAAAGTAAAACTTCTGTATGCTATGTTTAACTAGCTGAAAGACCTGATTTATTGCTGTTGGAAGGCTACCTTCTTTATTGCTTATATACAATAAAGGACTTTTTTTTCTTCTGCTGCTTAGCTTCCTCTGCTTCTTCTTTCTTTTTAATGCTGACCTGCGAGTGAATTACTGCAACACTGTGGAGGGGGTGTGGGTATCCCATACAATTGGGTCAACCAGGTTCGTAGGGAAGGGGTCCTTTTTAATGTCAGTCTCATAAGTGGAGCAGAATGGCCAGTCTTCTGCCAAAAGGCCAGAAAAGATGAACAGGCCAATTCTGGGGCCTGACTGATGCCAGGAGCCCAAATGTTAATTGTTGTATTAAATTTGGAAAGAATATCTTGGCCGAGCAAAGGAACTGGACTTTGGGGCATAACTAGGAATGTCTGAGAGAATGGGAAGTTGTCTATGGAACAGAATAATAGGGGAGTCTTTTTTGGACAGATGATCCTTCCTCCTACCCTGACAATAGAAGATGTGGATGGCACTGTTTGTCCCCAGAATTCTGTCAGGACTGAGAAGGTAGCCCTTGTGTCAAGGAGAAAATCAACCTTGTGCCCATCCACCTGAATCCACACCCTGGGTTCTTGCTTATTAATCCTTATGGTCTTGGACAAGGACCCAAGGCTCCATCAATCTCCAATTGCTATGCCCAGAAGGTCAGAGGGTTCCCTGGCTATAGGCTTTCTACAGAATCTAGGACAGTCAGAACCCCAATGACCTTGTTGTTGACATTTAGGGCATAGGTTACACAGAGTGCGTGGTGCGGGGCGTGCCTTGGCCCAATGTCTGACCTTGCCATGCTTGAAGCAGGTGCCCCGGGGGTAGGAGTTTTCAGTGATGGGCAGTGACCCAAGGAAGCACCCTGCAGCACCTGGGTGAGCATTTGAAATTTATTGTGATCAGCCCTGTGCTTGCAGTGCTTGATTTCCTCCTCCCAGTTGTGAAAAACCTTAAAGGCTACTACCAAGATCTCAGTCTGGTGGGTGGCAGGGCCTTGTTCGAGCTTTTATAGTTTGGCCCAGATGTCGGGGTAGCTCTGCAAGAGGAAATATGTCATAAGCGCAAGACGGCCATCTGGGGTTTCAGGATCTAGGTTAGTATACTGCTGAAGGGCTTTTGTAAGCTGATCCAGAAATTCTGATGGGTCTCCTCTCACTTTTTAGTAATCTCTTGTAAGTTTTGGAAATTGACAGCCCTACATGCTGCTTTTTTGAGCCCAGCAATAATACATGCAGATAATCAGTCCCTACTCTGTATGACAGCTTGTGTATTATAATCCTAGTCAGGAGTTTGATCTGGGGCAGCAAGTGGCCCCGGAGGGTTATTGGGATTAACTCAGTGAGTTTCATCCACATAGGCTCTGGCAAGTTCCCAGACTCTGGTATGTTCCTCAAGAAGGAGAGTGTTAGCCAATAACATATATATATATATATATATATATATATATATATATATATATATATATATATATATATATATATATATATATATATATCATGGTGAGTGAGTCTATAAGCCTGGAAGACCCATTGAAACTCTCTAATGTAAGTGGTGGGATCTGTAGTGAATGAGCCCAACCTTTGCTCTAGTTGCATGAGGTCATTCATAAAAAATGGGACATGTATCCGGATAATGCCCTCAGGTCCAGAAACCTCTGTTAAAGGGACCATGGTTTGAGGGACTGGAGAGTGGGACCTAGTTTGGGGGGGACTAAAGGTGGCAGGTGGAGCAGGGGGAGCCAACGGGGGAGGTCAGTAGGGAGGGGGTTCATCTGCCGGATCGAAAGGAAGGTCAGTAGGGTCATTAAGGTAAGAGCGTAGGTCAGGGTAAGAATGAAGAAGAGAAAAAGTTTCAACATAGGGGATCTCCTTCTACTTTTTTGAGCTCTTGCAGAAGTTAAACAGATCTCTGAGAATTGCGTGATCTAGGGATCCTCCCGGTGGCCATTGACTTTGATTGCCCAATTTATAGTAAGGCCAATCTTGTGTGCAAAATTTCATGAGAGTCTTGGGATTTATATCAGGAGTGGGGGATACCCAATCCAGATTAGCCAGGAGGCATTGTAAGGGGGAGTCTGCAGGGAGGGAAGAAGAAGCCCCCATAATGGTCCCTAAGAAGGAAGTGGGAATGTGGGAAAGGTCCGGACCAGAACAGAATTGGATGAGCCTCCTCACAGGCATCCCCACAATGGGAGCTCAACCAATATGACTCAGGAGAGTAGGGGCCGGGAGAATGGTTGAGTGGTCAACCGAGGGTCCAGCCGGCAGGCCCAGAACAGACAGTAGTCACGGACCACTTGGCACCAGGCTTTTCGGTTTATTTAGGCCAGGAGAGGGACAAGGGTGGTGAGAGAGAGAGAGAGAGAGAGAGAGAGAGAGAGAGAGAGAGAGAGAGAGAGAGAGGGGAGTGTCTGTCCTTCCAACCCTCAGGACCTCTCGCTCATGAGCCGGGTTCCAGAGAGTCCACCCTGATCGGGAAGGTCATTGTGCGGTGCGTTCTCTCCTCCAGATTGGGTGTCAGAGGTTTGCTGGATGATCTCGGTCAAAGCTCCTGCATAGCCCATCTGAAATTGGATACGTGATAGGGGAACTCACCTACTGAAGAGCCAGTTTGTGAGCAGCGCTTGAAAGAGTGGATGAGGAGGGCAAGCCTTGAGAGAAGGGGCCCTGGAGCAGCAATGAGGAATTCCCCTTTCCCGGGTTTTGGCACCAATGAAAGAATGATCAAGGATTGCTGTCGGGGAAAATGCCCATTTATTGAGGCAGCTCTGCATAATTATACAGCGGGGTGTGGTCTGACAGTTGAAACAGTTTAACAATTTAATGGTTTTAGCAGCTGGCATGGGATGTGTTCTAATTGGTGGGTAAGGATCATGTGAGTCAGCAGGACTCACCATTGGATGGCTCTTTTTGGGGGATGGGGAGATTAGTCTTTGGAGCTGGTCCGATTCCCAACAGTTTTTCTCTGTGAATGTCACATGCTCCCCTCTCTAGTGGTCACTGTCATCTGCAGAAAATATTTGTTGGGGCTGAGGACTGAGGCCATCAGTGTCAGTTTCACTGTTATCCCCAGGACACTTGTGCTCAGGAGAATGAGGGAGCAGTACACTATAATTCTTTGCTTGGGACATTCCTGAAAGCTGATTTCCCAGATAAACAACTGGTTTCATTGAAGAAATGGTTCTGACCTGGGCAAGCAATGAGCTTATCAAATAGAAGTTTAATAATCAACACCCACAGCAAGAAGCCCCATGCCTAGTGTGTACCAACCCTACCCAGAATAATGCTGGTTACATGAATACTCCTCAAAACCTTTTTTGGCAGACCTGCCTTAAACTTCCCCAAAACACATCCTCCAACCCTAGAACCATCCCTTGTCTTAAGACCTATTGTTCCCCTTCTTAACCATATATATGACCCTGCCACACTGAAATTCTCCTTAATACTAAGACTCCATTTTCTATGACTGAGGACGCGCTGGGTCTTTGGGAGTTGGCAGTTAAAGTCAATAAGAATGACTTGCTCATATTCCAATAGAATCAACTGATCCTGTGGAGGTACAGGGGATTTCCCCTCTACTCTCATGAATATGGGGACAGGGGTGGGAGTTTAGTCTTCCTCCAATCTATGGGGCACACTTTCTGCTGTCAAGGTGACCAAGACAGGGAGGATCCTTGGGTGCCAGGCTGGGGGCAGGTTTTGTCCCACTTCCCTGTCTGCCTGTGTCACTGTGAGCAGCATTGCTATCCTCTACCTGACAGTAATAGTCAGCCTCATCTCCAGCCTGGGCCTCACTGATGGTCAGGGTGGCTGTGTTCCCAGAGTTGGAGCCAGAGAATCGGTCAGGAATCCCTGAGGGCTGGTTGCTATCTCTGTAGATGATGAGCAGAGGGGTCTGTGCTGTCTTCTGCTGGTACCAGTGCACATATTTATTTCCAATGCTGTTGCCTCCACAGGTGATTTTGGTCGTCTGTCCTGGGGTCACCGATACTGAGGATGGCTGAGTCAGCACATAAGAGGCTACAGAGCCTATAAGGAAATAAAAGGAGAGGGGGACTAATGGTTATAGAAACTTCCCATGAGATTCATTCTTTCCCCCTGGCCTGGAAGAGCTTGAGAAAATCTGTGGGACCAGGCTATCCCCTGGCATCCAAACCAGCCATAGGGGCCCATGAACCTGACTCAGGGATGGAGATTTGAACCCATGAGCAAACGCAACACCTTTCCTCCTCAGGCTCACACAAGCCAGAGAGCACAGTGTGGCAAATTCAGCCCAAATTTATCTTTCAGCTGGTTCCTGAGCATCCTTCCCACCACAGATAAAGCTCTGCTGAGCTCAGAATTAAGGCCAAGTTAGTTACACAGGAGCCTTGAGCTGGGGTGTATGTTGGGGCCTTGGGTCAGCACCTGTGCAATGAGCCAGGAGGCTGAGGAAAAGCACTGTCCAGGTCATGCTGTCCTGAGGCTGCTTCTTGAGTTCCAGGCTGAGCTGTGTTCCCCCAGGGGCCTCTTATTCCCTTGTTGGGGACAGCTGCCTGTTATGCAAATCATCCCATGTCAAGGCTGCTACTGGAGGAAGTTGTGTGATGTTTAGAGCAGGGCTTAACCCCAGGGATGCAAAGAAGGGAGGGGCAGCCCTGAAGAAATACCCTCATCTCACAGAAGACTCCTTTACTTGCTGGCTCCAATTGCTGGACCATGTCTCCATCCAGGCTGTTTTTCAGCCTTGAACCTAGGCTGGCCTGGTTATATAGAGACGAGTCTCTCTTTGTAAACTGAACCAACTGTATGGTTGAAAATTGGAGGTTTTGCCAGCTATGGGATCCTGTCCCAGATACAGTTCCTAGGCTGTGCATGTCAATCAAATTCCTCTTAGAGTGTACCTGGTATCTTAAAGGTCCAATGAAGTACAATATCACCCTATCCCTTGTGTGAATGCCTCATGCAGATTTTGAGTGCTCTGCCTCACTTCTCTAGCATGTTTTGGGCAGGTCTGACAACTATGGTGCAATACTGACAGGTACAGAGCATCAGCATGAATGATGGCTTGAGGAATCCTGGACCTCTGCCATGTCCCAACAGGGACATTCTACAATGATCAGATCTGGGAGACATAGACATCAAAGAATATGTATGTCAGTGTAAATGACAATACTATAGAAAAATCCAGTATGTGAAATCTCCCTGACAGGATGAGATCTGCTATTTTGGAAATGTGTGACAGGTCCAGATTTTAGCTCCATTACAATGAGCTGGGTGTGGTAACGAAGAGTCAGGAAAGCAGTAAGATTTTTTTTCTGCTAACAAATATGGGAATTCAAGAAGAGCTAGATATGAGAGAAATGGAGATAAAAAAATTTGTACTTGTTTGAAACAGGATGTGTAGCAAAATGACACTTTTTCCTCTGAATCTTGGGGTGTGGGCCCAGCACATACTTAGGGAGGCTTTGTCAGGTGGTTCTCTAGTGCCCCCTGGTGGCCTCTCCACATTGGGTGCTTCCTGTTTAGGGCATCCTTGGTCAAGGCACAGATTCAGAACTAACCTCTCAGGTTGAGGATTCCTTGATGTTTGGCCCGGGGAGGAATTTCATCTTCATTCTACAGATGTGACAGTATCAGGAACAGGAAGGAGCAGCTCAGATTTAACAGGAAAATATGAACAGATGCATTAGGAAGAGGAGGGTCAGGACCCTTCTGAATTATCTCATCATATTTCTTTCTTTCTTTCTTTCTTTCTTTCTTTTTAGAGAGAGAGAGAATTTTTTAATATATATCATTTTTAGTTTTCTGTTGACACAACATCTTTATTTTATTTTTATGTGGTGCTGAGGATCAAACTCAGCACCCCGTGCATGCCAGGCAAGTGTGCTACCACTTGAGCCACATCCCCAGCCCAATTTCTTCATATTTCTTTAGGGTGGTGTGTGATCATGGAATTGGTTCCATAGCTTGGTGCTGGGTGACATTGGAATCAGGAACTGGGTCTTCCTAGGGTCAGCTTTCAGTGCTGAAGCTCATGTTTGTAGAGTCAACATGAGTGAGTAGTGAGAACCACAGACATAGACAGGAGACCATTCACCACCAATGTTTATTCAGACCCACTGTGGTCTACACCAAATTCCATCCTGGGAATTCAGCAGTAACATGATGCATCTTTTGCACTAAGAGTTTCCAACTTCTCATTGGGTCTGTGCTTTGGACACATTTAGTGTGCAGTCTAATAGTCTCTCCCACCCACTAGAGCCTGGGTTTTTTCCCCTCTCTTTCTTGAAAATCCAGACATTTTTTCCATGTATCAAGCATCCAGTGATAAGTATATAGTACAACACACAATAATGACATGGAACATTAAGTTCACCAGAATTCCTTGTAAGGGAAATTCTGCACTTTTAAAGGAGTGAAATATATAGGTTCTTGCATCATTTGCCTCTTAAACATGGGTGTGATGGCTGAAGCTGCAAGAGCCGGACATGAAGAAAGTATCAGCAAGCCAAGCCAATCGAGTTTTGAGATAAGGGTATTCCTAGAAAGATGGGGCAATCTCACACTAAGCATTCTGAGGGGGAGGAGGAAGGAGAAGTTTGTGAGAGGGAGCCAAGTCACGAGCCAAGCCTGCCGTTCAAGGCCTTCCCTGTGCCCCACTGGCGCCAGGACATCTGTGTCCCCCATCCCATCCCACTCCGCCCTCGGGCATTGGGCCACTTGGGACCGCACAGAACAGTTGGTGAAGAAGAGGGAGATTCCCCTGGCCCCTCACCTCCTAGAACACATGGTAGATAGCCAGGATGGGGAGCGGCCTCTGCCATATTGTGGCCCCTCCCCCCCACGGAAATTCTCTGCCACCTTGTGCAAACCCGGAAAAGCCAGTTAAGCTGAATTCTCCCTGGGCCAAAACCATCCTCCAGGGTCTAGCCCACCAACAGTGTACTACCCAAGTTCCAATCTGCCTTAGATGTGTGGAGATAACTTTGGCTAAATTTTATGCTTCTCCTGCTTCCCTGCAAGGGACCAAAAGTCAATAGAACTTCCAGCTTTTCTCTTCTCACCTTTTACACCCCCTTTAGCTCTGTTTTAAAGAACTTTGATAAACTTTACTCCCCTTTGTAAAATGGGATTAGGAAAGCAACATTTTCTTTTCTTCCTGAAGTTGGCTTGAGTGCACCACTACAGAGGGAAATGCCTGCTGGGGATCTAAGAACTTTGGTATATCCCTTTTTTTTTTCAAAACTCTGTCCTCATTATTAAATTGGAATTAATTGGCTTTGAGGACAGGAACTGAACTTTCAGATACAAATTTTGACACCCCAGGGGCCCCACTCCACTTTCTTGGGGAAACCTACTACTGAAAAGTTAGGAGATATGGAGCATGCCTAGTGCCTGAGGTGAGAAAAAACCAGAGGAACCAATCTTATAAGTAAAAGGAGGGACTGAGGGACTCCCAGCAGCTGCTCAAGCCCTTTTGCTTAGGGGAACTCCCTCCTTCCTTCCCTGCACTGTAAGGATTACTTCACCTCTGTCTACTTAAAAAAGAAAAAAGGTGGGGGAACATTGAATGCAGTAATGTGTTGATATTGTAGATTGTTTCTTGGGAATGATCTTGGATGAATGTGTGTCTAAAAGATGATGTTTGTAACAATATGGTATCTGAATGGGTTTTTGAAACATTGCACAATCTTGCAGTTAAAAGTTGGGTTTAGGTAATTGTTTAGTTTATGATTTCAGATAACTCATGCCAGAGAACTTAAATACTTAGGATGGAAAACTAAAGAACTGTACTTCCAAGTTGGCAAGTAACTCCCAATCATTCAGTTTTTTTTTCATCAATTTTTGAATTACCCGTAGACTAGGAAGATTTCACTAGGTGTACCAGTGCATTATTAATTTGGGCAAGGATAGTAATCTGTTCCCCTCAGTGTGTAGGATTTAGGAAAGGAAAGTATTGGATTGAGACGTTGGTCTGGCTTATTGAAATGACATTGAATAGCAACAGTCTTGGAAATTTTTAAAGCTTATTTTTTAAATATAGATGGTAGTGTGTGGTTCTCTTTTGGAATTTTTTTCAGGTGATTTAATGTAACTTAATACTACATTAGGAACTTTAGAACAAAGGAATGGCTTAATGATCCTGAAGGGATTTCTTCTGATGGTAACTTTTATATTATCAAGTAATATCCTATTTTCAGTTTTGTGTGAGCAAGTTTTTCTAGTGTAGGAAAATTTTTTTCTTTGGTAAAATAAGATGTAAAAGTATGAAATTTTGTTAATTGTATCCAAAACTTGTATCATAGGTTTCAACATCCAAACCTGAAAAATATGACTTATGGTTAAAATGCCTTAGGCATGAAGTTTCTGCTCAGAATAGCAGTTTTCCCTGCTCCTTCCAGACCTCAGCCAGGACTTAAGTTGAAATGCAAATGGAAGAAGCCTGCAAGCTCAGTAGAGACTGATCTGAGGCTCAAGAGAAAAAAAAGGAGGGGGGCGGGGGGTAAAAGGTGTCTTTTTACCTGAACTCAAACTGGAATAAACCAAAAAGTAAATTGTGTGGTATTTACTAATTACTGGCCAATCATTTTTTTTTCTAGGACCCTTGCTTTTTCTTAGATTCTGTATTTTTTGAGCTCATGATTTTGATCCTGTAGACCTAGGTTAATGTTTCTCTGATCAGTTCTATTTTTGATAAACTGTGGAGTTTTAAAACATTTCAATGGAGATTTCACCTGTGAAAAGCTACAAGGCCTTTACTATTGTGTTATGTGTGTACACTTGTGTTATGTGTTGTATGTCTGTATGTGCATGTGTCCATATGTCATACACATGGTATGAAGGTTGGCAGATATATGAGGAGCACTCATGAAAAAAATAAAAAATAAATGGATCCAAATATCTTTTATCTTTTATTCACGTGATTTAAATGGTTCAATTTAAATTGGTGAACAGATGAAAGTAAAGATGTATAAAGAAGGTCTGTGTAAGTTTGTTTTTACAATCAGTCATATGTTAAAAGGACAAAGATTCCTTAAAACATCAGTTTACCCATAATATTGTGTTTTATTAAGTTTTGTTTCTTGTTTCTAGAACAAGTAATCCTAAAGAAATTAAACAGCTGGTTAAACAAGAACTGTTATTCTAGAGAATTGTGCTATGTTATTTCTTTAAAAGTTAAATTTAGTTAATATAAAGACATCAATGTAATTGTGATGCTATTAATGTGTTCATATCTTCCAGGTATACAAGTGTGTAAAGTAGAAGCTTTAAAAGAGCATTATATCAATCTGGTGTTCTAAAGTTGTATGGTAATTTTAGGCTTAAAAGAAAAACATGTTGGAGATTTGTTTGTATCATTTAATGTTCTATGGCTGGACCTGTTGTTGATGGAATATGGGGTTTTGTGTTGCTCTTTGCACTGAGGTATGATTCTTTAATTGTAAGAATGAAAGACCATTCTGGACGCTTTGCCTGGTTGAGGCTGGACTTCTCATTGTCTTCCTCATGGCATTCATCATGGCCACAGGGATGGGAACTGGACTTGCTGGC